TGTCAAGAAGTTTTGATTGCAAATTTCTGATCTTTGCAGCAAACTTAGACACTTAGAACACAGAAGTCTTTCCACATAGTGTGAAGACTTCAATCTTGAAATCATTCAGGAGTAGGAAGCTGTAGTTTAACCAAGAGATGAATTTAGAGATAAGTAGAAGGATGTGTGTGTGAGGGAGCAAATACGGAGAGGTGGGTGCTGTTTGCAGAGAAGCTCCTTGATCTTCCGAGTGTTCCGTAATAGAGAGAGAGAGAGAGCTAGAAAGTGTGCAATAGATATGAAAGAACAATGTTTGTTGAGGTATGATTCTACAGTTCGTCTGTGAGGCATTAGCTTTGTGACCAAGATGCTCAAAAAGATTAGTGATCACGTTTACTCTTGTATCACAAAATACACTGTTAGATAGGCTGGAGAGAGGAATCTAAGATCAGAGATAAGAACAAACAGCTAATATTATTAGCTATCTTCTGCAAGAACATTAAAGATGGAGGCAAGTTAATATATTCCTGCCTCCTCTACCCCCAATAATGTCAGTATTTCAAATACAAATGTTCAATTCATGTGTTTTAAAATGTCAATTGTTTAAGGAGGTTTCTTTTCTTGTTTTAGCTGCAAATGAACTCTGTGTTAAGAACAGATACATTTATCTTCCTTAAAGAGTCACCTGTCCAGTACAAATTCACATAATGCTTTTGATTTTTGGTGTTTTTTGTTTTTAACTTTTGAAACCCTAAGGCCATACTACATGATTTAAAAAACAATAACCGATGAAAACATTATTTTAACAAATACTTCCTGGCCAAGTACTGCAGTATTGGTCTAATGCATGATACATCTGTATGTGGATTTGACATAGAAACTTACTATAAAAAAATGGTGAAAATAACTACATTTTCAGTTCCCTTTGCAGTATTGGTCTAATGCATGACACATCTGTATGTGGATTTGACATAGTTATTTTCACCTTTTTTTACAGTAAGTTTCTAAGTTTTCAGTTATAAGTAAATAATATACATATTGAAAACAATGTTAGATTTTAAAAGTTATTTCAGTTCAATAACTGAATACATTTTTAATAATATTGGCAAGTAAACTTTTTTCTTTTTCATTTTACTAATGTGTCCTGATCCTGAAAACACTTTCACTGGCTTAATTTTACACACATGGAAAGCTCTATTGACTTTTGTAGTATTACACTTACACTTACATTTTCACAGGATCAGGGCCAAGGGTTTTTTTTTTATCATGACAATTTCCTTCAAATACTGCAGATTTAGATTTTGCTTATACAGTAGTCTCAACACTGGACAGTAGGAGGCAAGATTTGTTGATTACTAGCAGGAAATCACTTAATATTTTACTAGGTTTGCATTATGTTAGTGCCATTATGGAACCGGGACAGGTGCATAAGTTAAACATGACAGCACTTCTGCAAGAGGATGTTGACTCTATGGGTGTACGGGTGGAACTGTACTGTGGAAAGTGACTGCCTCAGCCCTGCTCCCTCTCCTGATACTATGCCCGAGTTAGGGATGTAAAAAGTTGGTTACCTTTTACCAAAGGTGTAGCTACTGCAACACTTAGTGGTTACACGCACTGCAAGCTCTGCAATAGAAAGCTTAAATAAGCTTTATACTGCAGAACTCACAGTGAAGCCCCTCCAGGAGCAGGGCCAACAGCCTCTGCCAGGGGCTGCCAGCCCACTCCTAGGGATCCAGCATGTAGCCCGGGGTGGGGGTGGGGGCCGGGAGGGAGGCTGGGTCAGGCCTGCCATTGGTAGGGGCTCTGATCGGCTGAAGCAGCCGCTGCCTACAGTGGGCCCCATGGGGCTCGAGCAGCCCCCTGCCCAGGGTGGGTGGGAAGCTGCTCCAGCCCCTACAGTTAATCAGAACCAGTAATCGTTACCCATTTAGAATGATGCTGACTGGTTAGCGGATTAACCTTTCACATCCCTCACCTGATCCATGTTGAATTCCAAGGTGGGAATGAGGGGGAGGAGGAAAGGATTTTGCAGGGCCTGGGAAAAGGAAGGATGTTTCTGTTGCTAGACACCCTCTTCAGCGAAGTTTTCAACCTCTATCTCCAGGAGAAAGAGAAAATGAGTGGAGTTGTCCCCTTCAAGACTACACATGACTCTGTCCCACTCTACGCCCTCCTGTTCCCCCTCCTGTTTCAAAAGCTCTTCCCAGCTGCTTCTCTAAATGTCAGGTCTGTATCTTCTCCCACTTTTGTCTGTGCCCCCTCAGAGCAAGCCTTTTACACTTGGAATGCCCTCTCTTTCCAACGTGTTTTCAGTAACTTTTCCCTTCTTTCAAATCATAAGCTCCTTCGGGTAGGACTTGTTCCATCCTCTATATAATGTACAGAACTAAGCACACTGATGGAGTTCAGTAAATATGTGGGTATGGAAGATTCTGCAGAGCATTCCCCACACTAACAGTATAACCAGTTGCAATCTTTTTACACCATCCTGAAAGTCCCATATGCTTATCATGACCTTTGGCAAGTCCTCCAGATCTGCATTGCCACACTATCTACTTTGCATATTTTAAGCAATTTCTCACAATTTTTCTCATTCCCTGAAGGAAAAAAGCAACTGAATAATAGAAGTGTATGTGTTAACAATTACTTCCCAGCCTTTTGCTTCTCTTTCATAGACACTCACATATTTGGGTATGTGGGTTAAATGGTATATGCTATGTATTTCTTCACAGACTGACTTCACAGTTAAACTTCACTACTGTTACACCCACATATGAAAACTTATTAGACTGTATTGTAGAGTTTAGATGTTTGGTTCTATGAGCTTTCTGAAGGAGTTGCACATTTTGTATCTGTGGGCAGAATGTGCCCCCAAATTACTGTTGTTTTATTCTCATTCACTGTGCTGTTTTGTGCACAGCCAGTCTCCTCCAAAAACCATTGACCAGAATGTAGCCAGTTTTGAACCTGCCTTTATATGTTTTGCTCGGAAACACTTGTAGTAAATTATAATTCTCTGGTTTCCTTGTCCAGCAGATAACACAATATATTGTTTCAGTGGAATTAGTGCCAGGTTCTTTGCCATGACACCATATTATACATGCCGGTAATTATTACTCACCTCAGCTCAGGGTTCACCGTTGTGATGTAGTTATAACACCTCCCAAGGATGACTTCTTGCAGATTTTTAGTGGTCCCTCTGCCTTTCCACTCTAGCAGCTGCACACTAGACTCTTTTCTTCCATGTGCCAGTACAGCAGCCAGCACAACAACAATTGTCACTATCAGGACCATGATGCCCACTAAAAGTACTATACGCTGGCGTGTCCTGGAGGACCTGTTTGGAAAGGGCATCGTAAATGAAGTTTGTGAACAGCTGCAGCAACTGCTCTGAAAGTAGCTCTTTTCTAATGTGCCAAACTGCACTTCCCCCCTGCTTCCCTCTGCCTTCAAGTGGAAGCTAACTGCTTGCTCAGCTGACAAATACCAACTAGAAAAACAAGGAACTGCCGGGCTGGAGCACTTCAGACTGGAGCACATCATTTACAGGAACCCAAGGCAAGGTATATGCACATTTGCAATCTTATTAGCAGCATCTGAAAACTTAAAGGGTCTTGCAGTGATAGCATAGTGTCACTGGAATCTCCTTGCCTAAATAGATTAATGGGTCACTTTATGAAAGACTGCCTCTGATAGTAGCCTATCCCTGATGTTTCAGAGGCCATCTCCTTCTTAACCTCTTTCTACAAACTCTCTGCTCCCCGCTATATATACAATACTGGGGGGAAATGAAGTGGAAATTGTTTTGTGCCATGAAGCAGGACTTTTACAAGACTGGCAACTTTTATTCTAGTTACAAAGTGACTGCAGATACTTTTGTTTCTCTTTAGTGTTTAAATCTCTCTCACTCTTGTTAAGCGATTTTGCTTGATTAATATCCTGTGGCAGTGAATTCCACAAGTTAACTGTAGAGTGCCAAACTCTGGGTTTCTTACTTGAGTAAGCTCACAAAGAAGAAGTTTGTCTAGAGACAGAACAAGTAACAATTATGTAAAAATGGTCCACACTTGTCTGTATTTAATTTTGAAAAATAATTTCCTCCATTTTAATTTGTGTCCCTCTTACCCATGTAAGCATGAGTACTTGATTCACCTCTACATTGCCATTGATTGTTCTATATCCTGCAGACGCACTAATATAAACATCAACATTAGCAATGGCTTTTAGACAGTTTTAACCAAATGCAAAAATTGTTTCCATAGTGAGAACAATAGAATTGCAAAGCCCATTTTGTTTCTCTCCCCTATTCTCTACATATAAACTTGGACTGATTGTAAGCTATTTCTAAGCAAAGCCCTGTTAATTTTTAAGCGCTATGGTGATGCTAGAAAAGCTGATAGGTGCAAACTAGTTTCTGTGGTTGACACTAGTTTCTTATTCACAAGCAAACATTTTAAAAAAAAATAATCAATGCAAGATTATTTTTTAGAAATTGCAATGAAAGGTGATTGCATTTTATTACCATGTATATTCATAATTAATTTGATTAATAATCATTTATGTATGCAGCTTAGTTGCTGTCAGTACGAGGATATTAGAGAGACAAGGTTGCTGAGGTATTAACTTTACTAGATATTGGCGCTCGAGAAAACAAGCTTTCTAGCTGTATGAAGCTCTTCTTATCTAGGAAAGGAGCTCCCAAAGTCACAGCAAAAAGCAAGTTGAAGCAGATTGTTTAGCATAAGTAGTTAGCACTATTGTACAGGGGGCCATTCAAGGTACAGTGCTAGGATAAAAAGGAGAGATCTAGTAAGTTAAAATTGTTGTAATAGCCAGTCATAAATCTAGTCTCTCTGTTCAGTCATGATTCTAATAACAGAGTAATGAATTTAAGCATCTTTTGAAAGTGGGGTGCAGGATTCCTTTGAGGATGAGAACTGAGGGTATGTCTACACTACCCCGCTAGTTCGAACTAGCGGGGGAATGTAGGCATACCGCACTTGCAAATGAAGCCCGGGAAATTCAACTCCCGGGCTTCATTTGCATAAGCCGGGCGCCGCCATTTTTAAATTCCGGTTCGTTCGACCCCCGTGCCGCGCGGCTACACGTTGCACGGACTAGGTAGTTCGGACTAGGAAGCCTAGTCCGAACTACCTAGTCCGTGCAACGTGTAGCCGCGCGGCACGGGGTTCGAACCAGCGGGGTTTTAAAAATGGCGGCTCCCCGCTTATGCAAATGAAGCCCGGGAAATTCAACTCCCGGGCTTCATTTGCAAGTGCGGTATGCCTACATTACCCCGCTAGTTCGGACTAGCGGGGTAGTGTAGACATACCCATAGTTCTTGCGCAAGAAGCCCTGATTTCATACATTAGAACGTCAGTGTTGCACAAGAACTCACGGCCAGTGTAGACAGGCAGCAAGGTTTGAAGATCGCACCAATGTAGACACAGCCAATGTGTACAGGGATGTTAAAAGGGTTAACTGGTTAAATTATAGCACTTAACCATCCTGTGGGGTCCCTCCACCCATCCGACTGGCTCCCCATATGTACTGGCTCCTGCCTACCTCAGCCTACCCCCATCCCTGAGGCAGCAGCACAGGGGGAGAGCAGGGCAGGGAGCTCCATGGAAGCCAGCAGTGCTTACATGTTTACCCAGATATCCACATTTTAACATCCTTACTGTGTACGTAGGCCTGATGCTCACCTCCTGAAGCAAATACTCTTCTCATTTAAGTCAGGGGAGAAGGGTTCATGGAAGGCAGTTGAAGCATTTCAAAGACCTACTAAAAGTGCACCTTAGAAAGGGAAGCATCAACCCAACAAACTGGGAGGACTTGGTGTGGAACAACAAGGTGGTGCTACACCACACACCAAGCCACAACTCACTTTGAGGAGAAAAGACATGCTCATGAGATGCAAAAGCAACAAAGGAGGAAAGAAATGGCACAACACTCTAGCCAATAACTATCAGAGGGGTAGCCCTGTTAGTCTGGATCTGCAAAAGCGACAGGGAGTCCTGTGGCACCTTATATACTAATTGATGTATTGGAACATAAGCTTTCGTGGGCAAAGACCCACTTCGTCAGATGCACATAGTGGAAATTTCCAGAGGCAGGTATTACTATGCAGACCAGAATAAGGTTAAAGATAACAAAGTTAATTCAGTCAAGGAGGGTGAGGCCCATTTCTAGCAGCTGATGTGGAGGTGTGAACACCAAGAGAGGAGAAACTGCTTTTGTACTTGGCCAGTCATTCACAGTCTTTGTTTAATCCTAAACTGATGGTGTCAAATTTGCAGATGAACTGTAGCTCAGCAGTTTCTCTTTGAAGTCCGGTCTTGAAGTTTTTTGCTGCAGGATGACTACCTTTAAATCTGCTACTGTGTGTCCAGGGAGATTAAGTGTTCTCCTACAGGTTTTTGTATATTGCCATCCCTAATATCTGATTTGTGTCCATTTATTCTTTTATGTAGGGACTGTCCAGTTTGGCCGATGTATGTAGCAGAGGGGCATTGCTGGCACATAATGATAGATATGAGGGATGCCCTCATATCTACATCAGTGACACCATCACAGAACCTAACCAGATCAGCCACACCATCGCTGGCTCATTCACCTGCACATCTACCAATATAATATTCGCCATCATGTGTCAGCAATGCCCCTCTGCTACATACATCGGCCAAACTGGACAGTCCCTACATAAAAGAATAAATGGACACAAATCAGCTGCTTTGCGGCAGCCTTCCTTGCTGCCCCCAGCCTCCGTACTGTGTGGGAGGGGGCAGGCAGCATGATGCCTGTCTACACTGGCCTCTTGCGCAAGAACAGTTGTGCAAGAGGGCTTATTCCTGGACAGGAGCGTCAGAGTATTTGCGCAAGAAGCACTGATTTTATACAGTAGAACGTGAGTGTTCTTGCGCAAGTACTTGCGGCCAGTGTAGACATTGTGCAGAACTGGGAGCATTTCAGAAAATGCTATCACGGAGTGTATGGACTTTAATTTCTTACTAACAGCCTAAATTTAGCCTCTCTCCGGCATTTTTTCCTATGTCTTTGGTTTCTACATGTATCACGACCCCTGCCTCCTTCAGCAGTGCAAATGTCTGTATAGATGACTTATGGTAGATACTGCCTTTGTGCCCATCAGGTGATTTACCATGTGCATTCTCCTGGTTATTACATACCCAATTATCTATTTTCTAATAATCAAATCACCCATTACTGTTATTTCTCTTCCCCTAATCACTGGGGTTCCGCTTCCCACCAGTGGTATTGTCAGTGCAAGAGGAAACCATGGCACTGCCTGAAAGGAGAATCTCAGCCATGAGGGTGGCTGACCCTATGGCTTGGGAAAGCCAGCTCCCCAGCCCTGCCCCTTCTGGCTAAGGCCCTGCCTCTTCTATGTCCACCTCCAAACTAACCACCACGGGCCCCTTCCCAGCTCTCGCTCTTGTCCCCAGCCCACCCCAGGGCTCCAGAGATGAGAGCTAGCGAGTGGCATGGCTCTAGTCTGGACCTCTAACCAGAAATCTCCCTGCCCACCCACAGCCTCTGACACAGCACGGTGCAGCCCCCCTGCCTGCCTGCCCCCCCCAGCCTCTGACACAGCAACAGCAGGCTGGGGGAGGGTCTTGGTGGGACTCCTGTGGAGCATGGGCAGGGCCAAGTGAGGCAGTTTGGGAAGGTATTGCTTTCCCTTGCTATACCACCTGCCACCCATGATCCCAGCTATGGGCCTGTTTCCCTCTGGTCCAGTTTGATGTTCTCCTTCTGTGAGACTGTCCTTCTCCTTAACAGCACAGAGACTGTCAGACTGGGGGAGGGATCACTCTGTTGTGTTAATGAAAGTCTCCTCCATCTACCACTGTTGCTCTATCTCCTCCATTCAGCCACTCTAGCCTCAAGAGCCTGCATTGTGTCTGAGAGCCATAAGCTGCTTGCACCAAACATTCCCCACCTGCCCACAAATCAGGTAGTCACACATGCTACAATTCAGTGCAAGAAACTAGGTAGCCCCACTCTGCTGCTGGATTCCTGCCTTCTGCTTAACTTTTACTCTTGGAAGGTTTGTTGTTGGTGTGGGGGTATTTTTCTGAGGGCACCAGATTTTTTTTCTTTTCTTTCTCTCCCTCCTTTGTTTCCTTTGGAGGGACTTTTCTGGTATCCTTCTGGTACGTAGGTTATATCCCCTCAGCAACCTTCTCTCCTTGCCACTGAACTCTCAGTGCAGCCAAAATCTCCTAACCTTGTTAGCTCTCCCATGTCTACACTGCAGAGCTTTTCCAGGATATTGGAGGTATCCCGGAAAAGCTCTGCCACATCCAAGGAACATGTCTGCTTTTCCGAAAAAAATGTCAGAAAAGTGGACGTGGTTTTTTGCATCCCTGTAAACGTCATTTTATGAGGAAGAAGGGATGTTCTGAAACAGGGCTTTTTCCTGAAATTTTGCCCCATGTAGACAGGCCAAATTTCAGAAAAGCCTCTTTCAGAAGTAAATCAGAAAAAGATACGCAATTTGCATTTCTTTTTCCGATTTATCTTTGTAGTGTAGACATAGCCCCAGTCATGTGCTCTCTTGCTCAGTCATGAAGCTTTCTCTGCTCAAGAACTGAACCTGGAAGGAATGT